ATCTGTTAGCATTGTACTAGGATGGTTGTTCAGATCATATCTTCTAGAATATTGCCGTTTTTATTTGAAAACCAAAGACAAGAACAGCCTATTAATTAACACTTAAACATTATAATTTCATTTTTCAATCCATTTTTTTTTCAGTTCAGTTTTTCCTAAACCTTCCAATATTTTATCTAAATGATGTCTAGAGGCATTCCCAAAATTTCTAAGTACATAGTTTTTATAGTAGCATTTCATCTATAATGTTAATTTTCTATCTTTTCAGCTTTTGATTTAAGAATCCTTAAAAAGAAAACTTATTCCTGAATTGAATGTTGGGGGAGTCGAACTTGTCCAATTTTCTCAGATGTAAACAACATAAATGGTTGGTCACTGTTACAATAACTGCTAAGTTAAACGCACATATGAATTTCAATATTTTTGTAAGAATTGTCTCCCATACCCCATTTCTATCCCCTTAAGTGTTTATGTTTTATTTTATCTAGATTGATAGTGAAGAGTAACTGTAGGTCATGAATAGTGGTAAGTTACAAATTTATTTTCTGCAACAGCATACAAATTCTATAGAATACGATCAATAAAATTGAGAATCGGAATGGGGAATGTGTCAAATAGACAACAACCCGACCAAAGAGCAGAAAACAGCCGAATTCCACCAATGGGTCTTCAACACAGCGAGAAAATCCCGTAACTGGAGGCAGGCTTCAGCTGGTCCCTAAACAAAAATGTGTACTAGTTCAATAAAAATGGACGTCACACTAAACTCCAAAACATATAAATGAACTAGAATTAAAAGCATACAAGACTAACGAAGGTCAGAGGCTCCTGACTTGGCACAGGCGCAAAAATGCGGTGGGGTTAAACTTGTTTTGTGAGATCTCAGCCCTCCCCCTATACCTCTAGCCAATGTAGAATACACAAACACACAGCAATACGCACAGTAAAACTCAGTTTAAAAGAAGTCCGAGTCCAATGTCAGAATAGGTAACAAAAGAAACTAAGCAAAATGACAATGATACATAAATTAACAAAGGACTACTAGCAGTTACTGACATGCCAGCTCCAGACCTTAACTAAACTGTTTGAAAGATTATCTCTTCATCATATGAAAATCAAGCACAATCCCTCCCGTTAGGGGTTTAGTATCATACCATCATAAAATTTATGAGAAGAACATAACCCGTATCATGCCAACAACTGGTTTTAGATTAAATGTGTTTATTTTCGATGCAAAGACCCTATGAGTGAATCAATATCAATACCAAAATATGCCGTCCTTTATGACCTGACAACAGTATCGTAACTATATCCCTTCTGAATAAGTCTGTTTAAAGGTTTGGTTAGCTTTTGAGGTGAATGTCGACATTTTTGTGCTTTATATAGAATATTACCATAAAAGATTGGATGTGAAATACCTGAATGTATAAGACGTCTGCATGTTGATTTATGTTTACGAATGATGTCCTTGTACCGATGATAAAATTTTGTGATATCGAAAACCCTGGTGTAATAATTTTTCAGTAATACAGAGATTTCTTTCGTTAAAATCAATTACGTTGTTACATGCACGAGCGAATCGAACAAGTTGAGATATATAAACACCATAAGATGGCGACAAGGGAACGTCACCATCTAAAAATGGATAATTAACAATAGGAAATGAGAAATCATCTCTTTTATCATAAATTTTGGTATTAAGCTTCCCGTTAAAGATATAGATATCAAGATCCAGGGAAGGGCAGTGTTCATTTTTGTATTAGCTTTATTTAAAGTAAGTTCAGCAGGATAAATCTCTTTAGTGTACATACTAAAGTCGTCATTATTGAGAGCCATTATATCATCCAAATATCTAAAAGTGTTATTAAATGTATGTATCAGATGTTGTTTTGATGGATTTTTGCTGATTTTAGTCATAAATTGTAACTCATAACAATACAGAAACTGGTCCGCAATAAGTGGTGCACAGTTAATCCCCATTGGAATTCCGATAACTTGACGATATACGGAATCTCCATAGCGAACAAAAATGTTATCTAGTAAAAATTCAAGGGCAGTTATCGTATCAAAACATCCAATTGACCTAGTTCTTTTGTTTGTTGTTCCTTAAAAATGACCTAAAAGAGTTTGAACATATATCTTCGCATTCTGACTTTTTAAATGCCCATTTAATTAGGTGTGTGAATTTTTTCTTCATAAGATTATGAGGCAAAGTGGTATATAGGGTAGAAAAATCAAAACTTTGAACAGATTCGAAATCACCAATATAAGCATGCAATTTATCAAGTATTTTTGACACTCCAAAAGTAATTAATTCCACTATTTTCAAAGGCCTTATTTGAACAATTTATTACCAGGTTTTTGATTGTACCAAGTGTATAATTTATTTCAATAATTCACTGGTGCGGGGAATAAGTGCTTAAATGTTTTTAAAAAAATTAGTTAAGCTGAATGATTATATTTGTGTGAAAACAGTAGAAAGAAAACAGCACTATAACAGATGATTCATTGAGTAAAACACCTTTGCTTGGAATGGATGAGCTGTGGTTAGAGCAATTATCTGGCTAATCATTCATTAAAAGTGTATTTTAATTCTATTGACACAACAAAAGATGAAAAAACTGGAAAAGTAAGGACTTTTTAGGGCATCTTGTCATAAACATGTCAAATTTACCTAGTTGCTTCATAAAAAAACGGATTGTTGTTATCAAAATTTGCTGTTACAAAATTGTAGAAATTATTTTAAATTAAAGAATATATCTTCCTCATGCAAAGCTCTGATTCCTTGTCCGGCTTTGACTATACTATTTTTGTCCTTTTTGGTATATAGCTCTTCATCTTTTTAATAAGCTTTGGATTTTAAAATATTTTGGCCACGAGCATCACTGAAGAGACATTTATTGTCGAAATGCGCATCTGGTGCTGAAAAATGGGCACCGTTAATGTTACGTACTAGTTTACTCATAGTAAAGTTGAATATGAGCAACTCCCTTACCCATAACATATTTTGCAGACACTAACATTGTTGACTACCACGTTAAAAAGCCGGCCTTGTGTATCGGTCTAGTACAAATCCGAGTTTATAATGGTTCATATCATACCAACATATTTTTGTCCCGATATGCAATGTTTGCCACTGTACGTTTAACAATATATCATCATCGTCGTCGTCGTCGTTGTCCTCCTCCTCCTCCTCCTCCTCCTCCTCCTCCTCCTCCTCATCATCATCATCATCATCATCATCATCATCATCATCATCATCATCATCATCATCATCATCATCATCATCATCATCATCATCATCATCATTACAATGATTTGGAAATAGCGATGCTTATTAAAAAAATCACGAAAAGGAAAGAAAAATAAGAAATCGTACGGTGACCTATAATTGCTTTTATCTTCGTCATTTGAACTCTGGTGGATAGTTTACTCATTTTGCAGACATCAACATTCGTTTTTGCCTTGGTTTTGTCAGTTTGTCTTCGACTTATGAGTTTGAATATTTCTTTTGTATCTTCCACCTCTTCTTTATATCAATATTAATATTACTGCACCATATGTGCTTTCCGACAATTCATGTATCTTCAGTGATGCAATTTTAGTTAACGAAAGTAACTTTTGATTTATAAAAAAAACTATAAAAAATGAATCCCTAAGACGTCTGAACTCCGAACCACTGTCATTCAAATAAGACGTTTATTCTTATATATGAGTAAAAAGAGTTGTCGTTTATAGGTCGATGAATTAAAGCTTGATACAATAAAACCAAAGGAGACATGTATACTCTAACAAACAAGTGTCTTTACAATATGTAAAAGATGTTGTATTCTGATTTCCGGAAAAATGACACATGTTTCTGGAATAAACTTTTTCACGCATGTTGGTGGCCACAAATTTGAAAAACCATAAATAAGAATTGGGTGGATGATATCATCGGGAACCGAAATTCTACCAAAGGAGGGACGAAAGATACTAGAGAGACAGTCAAACTCATAGATCGAAAACAAACTGACAACGCCATGGCCAAAAATAAAAAGACAAACAGACAAACAATAGTACAGATGACACAACATAGAAAATTAAAGACTAAGCAACACGAACCCCACCAAAAATTGGGGGTGATCCCAGGTGCTCCGGAAGGGTAAGCAGATCCTGCTCCACATGTGGCACCCGTCGTGTTGCTTATGTTATTACAAATCCGGTAAATAGTCTAATTCGGTAGGTCACATTCGTGAAAAGAGAAGGGTATTGTAGTTGCGACATAAGGAACATATCCGATATCATCTATGAAACGGTTATTCCATAACGGTCAACTAACTCGCGATGGCGTCCGTAAAATTTACAAAGGGATGATTTCAACTTCACCATTTGGAATTCTTGGTTTAATATACCAATAGAGGAACCTGTAAATCGTCTCGAATTCCGTAATATATTCAAGAGTATAAATTTACCAAAAAGTCGGTCATCGCCACAGTTTTTAACTAGCATAAAGACACACACATTTATAAAAAAGAGAAATGACTGGTGAGGTTTCTGCCGTTGGATAGTCAAGTTAACATGCAGCGAGGTAAAGCATTATTTTGAGCCCTAAAAATTCCCTCTTTTAGCGTTATGAGCTGAATAGCAAAGGGTACACAGAAAAAAAGAATCGTTAATATCAGTTCTTCTGCACTAAATCATGTTAAAAGCACTCAACCCATTTGTAATTAATACTTTATGTATCGTGCGAATAAAGGCGATGTGGGGTATACATCAATGAGACACAAAACCAAAGACAAAAATAACAAAAAGACATGATCAGCAGTATCTTTCTTCTAGAAAATGTCTAGGCGAAGTCAGAACTATGATATAGTCTACAGTTCCTTTGGTAGCGTTTTCTTGTATTGCATTTCTGTTTTTGCTATCCTTATTAAAGCTTTAAAGTACTATTGATTACATTGTTGTGACAAATGTCATTTTCTTAATAGTGCATTCATGGATGAAACAAACAAGGAAAATGCTGCTCTCAATTTATTATTATCAAATGTTTTTACAAAAAAATAATAAACGAAAAAATAAATAAGAACCAAAAGTTAACAATTAACAAATAATCAACAAAACAAAAGTTAATCTCATTCGGTAAAAGTTCTATATTTAACGGCATTTATTTTGGACTTGCCAAGAGTTGGCAAGAGCGTATGCATCAGATGTGATCTGTTTGTTAGACATCATCATGTCGTCAAATCTCTCGTTGTCATGGACACCAAGCAGGCCACCTGTTCTACCATGGAACCAATGACTGAGTTCAATGTCATATGACGCTGATTTTATGTTGTTGACCACACCAAAACCATTTCCATCGACGTAAATGTTGTCTCCTACTTGTGAAATTTTTATCTCGTCTGAAGCATATGGAAGTTTGCTCTCTACTCCATCAACACGGACCTGAAAAATATAAAACATCAGAAATAATAATAAATGCTAAGAGGATAATCATTCGCTGTTCTTCCAAAGACAGAACAAATTCTTAAAAGGAGAGAAAACACGTTTAATTAATTGTGTATACATTTTTGTAATCAAAAATCACATCTTAATTTTTACAAAGTTATATAAACTCAACAAAGATTAGCAAAAGACACCTACTTACAGAAAAGAAGAGATCGCACGGGGTAAAATTTGTAAAATTTATTTACTTTCTCGGATGAAGTTTGTAAAATGAAATGCAACTCTTAAAGTTTTAGCAAACTAGTGATTCAATAGCCAAAGAATGTTTACCTTTCCATTTGAAGCCACTTGAACATTTTGTGTGGAGGTCATGACAACCAATTTTTTGCTCTGTCTTCCCATGTAACTAAGAATGATGCTGAACTTGTCTTTGCCAAAGTCACGTGCCAGGACATAACTGCATTTTCCATTGAAATCAAATTCTTGTCCATCAAAGGTGGTGAAATGATCTCCCTTAATGTGAGCATGGGCTGAAACATATTCAATTAATTTGGTATACATTTTTGTAAATGAAATCGTGATAATATACTTATCACCTATCAATTGTAGTATAAATCTACAAATTTAATAATACAACTCAACTTGCCTATTATGTTTTGTTGGTTTCTTTTTCTTTTGAGATAAATTTAGAAAGACATATCCATTAGTTAATTTTCGTATATTTTAGTTTGATAATAACATAGAATTCAATAATTCATAATCTATTCCTAAAATTAGTTACAAAAACATTGCTGCGTCAAATTGGGAATTCTTAAAACGATCACCTCAAAAAGAATTCAACATACATGAAAAAGGAAGTTTAAGTCAGAAATTAAATACATACATGTGTTAAGCATCGACTTTCTAACATTTAACATAAGGATTAGTCATTTAGAACATTGAACTCTAAATGTAGTTTGGGAAAATTCATTGATCGTATTGTTAACAAATATTTCATTTAAATATAAAGGCAAAATTTATATATTTTACTCACCACCAAACGATGGACTAACTGCATGAGACCATATATTGTTCCAGGATGAAAGTGGATTAGATTGTGGAATGTAAGATCTGAGATTCTCAATTGGATTGGTTATCCTTTTTACTTCTGTTAAAGATTTCATTTCCAGAGGTAGATAAATGTCCATTTCAAAGTGACCTTTCTTTGGGTCATATACTGTGACTTTTGTTTTCTTAACATCAGTTATTAAGTCTTTGATATTACTGAATTCGTCTCCAATGTCTTTTTTAATAAAATTGACGAATTTGATAAAAACAGATCTGATGTTTTCTTCAATTTCCCAGTACTTATATGCCGATGAAGCCTGGAAAGAATATAAGAAGCATTCAGTTACCACGTAGTTTATCGAATTTACATTTCAGTACAATAAAGAATTGTCAACTAAGAAAAAGAATTTATCAAGAGTTCAACAAAAAAAATTTTCTTTAAATTGAAGTAAAATATAATCTTTGCTGACAAACATTATGAGCATTTTTAGCCGTGAAAATAAACTGTCGGTGATATTAATTTGATGGTGTCTACATGTTAGATATCGAAGGATGGATATAACTCACCATATGATATACTGGGGTTGGAAGTGTTTTTATTAACCCGGTATTGATAGATTCTCTTGCATTGTAGATGGCTGTATTGTATCTGTCGGCCATTTGTTTCAGTGGAATTGTTGGTAATCTTGAACGAACTGATTCCAAAATTTTGTTACTTGAGATAGATGCAACCGAATCTGAAAAGATAATTTAGAACATGTTTTCATTTGAAACTACATTGAATCGTAGAACAGTTTTTTAAATTGGACATCAGCATTTATATTTTCCCTTTACATCTTTCTCTTCTGTATATAAGGTTAAATTCATGATTTCAATTTACAAAATGCTTAAATAGTATCTGATATTCACATCTTGAGTATTATATCTTTATTGACGTTGATGTAACTTTGGAAATAATGAGTAAATTTATTTCTGAATATTTGTTTTATGTATACCTGTTACATGTTTTCTATATTTGGTATATACACCTTCAATGGTGTTTGACAGCTGTGTTGTCTGTGATTGTATGCAATCTAAAACTTCAGTGTAGTACTGTAATGACATGTCTTCCATCAACTGTAATAAAATTAAACTATTAATGTGTTTTACTTTTAAAAGAAAAAAAATAGATTTCATTAAGTAGGTTGATACACTTCATTGATGGTTTTCTAGTAAAATGTTACTGTTCATAGTTGTTTTTATAGTGAAATGTTTAAGTAATTACAATACGATAAAACATAAACGCTATAAAACAATATGATAATGCAAAACCTTATTCCTTTTAGTGCCCTTTTTCATTATCTTAACAAAAAATGATATTTCTTTGAATGGTATACCAATGTCGAAAAGTGAAAATTATATTCAATTATTTAAATTTAGAGGAATCTACCGTAGTATACCATTGAAAAAGAGTAAATATCATTTTGATTTCATTTGGTACAGGCATTGTGAGTGTAAAATATCGACATCATAATGTACAAAAAAACGACACCATGATGTACAAAAACTTGATGCATCGCATTAACTCGCCGCACAAGGTTTAAAGTGTTTCAACATTCCAATTAATCGTGACCTTGTGTACTTGTGTGTGCACTCGATATCTACTCTGTTGGCAGTGAACCAAAAGTCGAAACACAATATAAATAGGGTGATCCCTTCAAAATAAACACAAATAATAGAATTCAGTCTCATAGTACATATCATCTTTATAATTTTTATCTGTTACATTTCTTCACGCATACGGTAATGAAATTTCGTTTACCATGAAGGCCAAATTGTACGATCAAGAACAATTAGTATTGCTCCTGTTATTATCCATCTGAAAACTGTTGAGAATACAACTCTTTTCATTATTACCTACCAAAATAATACGAAATATGTATTCGCTTTGCTCAGCGACGAAAGATAACAGTAATTATCATACCTTTATCAATTCAGTAATTTCAGCAAGATACAAATTATAAAGTGTCCAGTCCATATCTCTTGTTAAACTGTTGATTTCATTTTGAAGGGATTTCATCTGATGCCTTCAACAATAAAACAAATTGTCAGTATGATAATTAAACATTTTTCATAGAAATTAAAAGTGTTCAACTACTTTAGCTCATTTTGGATTTACTTAAATTTGTGTTTACGCTCTTTTCTAGTGGGTTTGAGAACTCCCTACATTTCTTTTTAAATAACCATTCAGCATTCATACTTTTGGTATTTCTATGAAAAATATTTTTATTGTTATACTAAAACATTTATTTTGTTTTACATTTAAAGAAATTACAAAATTTTGAATTTCAATAAAAGTGAAAATTTACGAATCAAAATTGCAGAACAATGTTTATAAAGATAATCATTTGTTTTTAAATACCTGATAACATTTTGTGTTGTTTGGAAATGTCCTACGATATCATTTAAGTAGAAATCATTATTGCGTCTCATTTTTTGAAGTTCGGTAACTCTAGCTGACATAAAATTGATGTATGGTTTCATGTCTTCTTTAATAGCAGATATGATCAATCTGTGTTTGGCTTGAACCTCCTCTTCTACAGCAACCCATGATGTTTGCAGTGCTTTGTTGATGCCATTGCCATACTTATGAATCTTGTTCAATCCAACAGACTACAAAATTCAAAAATAAAACATAATGCTTTACTTAAACAACGAACGTATCATTTCCAAGAAGAATAATGCAAAAATTAAAAGAATTTTTTTAATTAATTTGCTTCAATATGATTTCTATATTCATAACTGTTATATTGTTTGAATTGCTCATTGGTTTGGTTTGTATATTTTATAAATTATATTTTGACAAATTACTGATGTAAAAATACATATGTTTTGCTTTAATTTGTAATTAAGTAATCTATTGTTTAACACTTGTGAGTTTTTTGCCTTCACTTTTAATCTTTAACAAACCTTGACGGTTTTCAAAAGATCAGGGTTCCAGTGTACACGTGTATGGAGTATTTTGGAAGTCTTCAGTTTCAGGTTGATCAATGTATCGGAAACTCTCTTACTGTCCACATCTCTGAAAACTTCGGCAGTGAGTCCACTTTCATCTGACATTTTAGCATTCACATGAAGGATGTTTTGTGGATTGTCTGAAACAATATCAGGGTAAAATCATAAATGCTGCACATGTTAATGGTTTTTGTAACTTTGATATTGAAGAAGTATACCTTTCTTACATTGAGCTCAATCCGAATGCTACATATTTTTATCATGAACTATTTCTATGATAAGTACACAGATCATTATCTCTAATCGTCATATAAAAGGTTGAGATTTACAGATGTAGTACCCCGAATTAATTGAACAGACTACGTGCTTTGTTATAACTGTCATCAAATACATGTTTACCCAAGTTTGTGAATTAGAAACATAGAAAGCTTTTCTGTTTAGCAAAAACAATAAGCCATAAAAATAGCAGGCAATATCATCGAGGGCAACTTTGCCTGAGGCAGTAGTAACCTGTACTTAAAAAGCATGTTTCGCTTGAGAAAGTTGCAACATTTGCTTTGAAAAAAATGCCTTGCTTATAGAAGCTGCAATCTTTACTATTAAAACAGACTTTGCCTATAAAAAATGAAATCTTTGTAATTAAAAAACAGAATTAGTTGCAACCTTAGTTGATAAAAAATTAACTTATTAGTATATATATATTGATATCGATTGGGCTAGCTTTTGGTTCTTACCAATATCATAGTTCATGTTGACATCAATACTGACATCGGATGGGTCAAAGACAATATCTGCACTGACTGGTTTGACATTATCATACAGGTTCTTTATTGACACTTTGTATGGAGCCGTAGTTTGTACACTGCCTTGGATATTGATTGATTTAATAGGCGTTTTCAGCTGTAAATGAATATAAATGTCCTTTTAATACACGTATTCTGATAAAGCATATCATTTCTATAGAGTATTACATTTGCAAACAAATCTCAAATTTTACTCTAAATATAACATAGATTTTTTACAGGTTTGTGGCTATTTCTTTTATTATTAAATGTATTTTGTTATATTAATTCTCTGAAATTATTAATTTGTCATGGACTTTAAATGTTTTCTCTGTTCATAAGTATTCGAGTTCCGCCCTTTTGTTGACCTCTTTTCTTCTTTCTTAATTCAAATAATTCTCCATTTGTGTTTTTACAAATTATAAACTACTACTGATTATTCGGGTGTCATATAGCATTGTAAATAACGCCTTTTTGTTTATGATTCATCCCCAAATATGACAGTAAAATAATAACTTACATCCATCTTGATGCTTTTCTTTAAGCTATCGATTTCTCCCATTATTCCAAAGTTCTTTGCCATTTTGTTTGCTGTTTGGTATTTAACATCGACAGAAGCCATCTTTTTGTAAACTGATGATTCTAGGAGTGAAGTTACTTCAACGTCAACAGTAGTATACGGATGTTTGATTCCTAGGTTAAAGCTGTAGTTAGTGTCAGTACCGGATGAAAGATCTTCCAGTCGTGAGGAAAGAATTAGTGTCTTCCTTGAATCTTTGGAATACTGGAATTCAGTTTTACCATCAAACAGAACAGATCCCTTGTTGAATTTCACCTTGGAATCAAGCTTTACATCCTATTTATGAAACAGTAAATGAACATCGGTTAATGATTAAAAAACCAAAATATGAGACTTATCCATAGAAAATAGACTATTATAGGGTTTTTTTCGTAATGACCCTGAAAAAGTTTTTTTTTTAATTTAACATCCATCGATAAGAATAAGATTCTTTATAAAATGTTTCTTTCCACTTGATAATCAGGGGTGGTAAGAAAATACGATTACAGAAATTGAACAATTCAATTAGTCATTGATTAAGTTATCTGAGAATTACTTAAAATATTTCATTACCTGTCCAATACTTGGCATTTCGAGAACAACATTGGCATCTACACCATTTTCACTAGGAGTTATATCCCCTTTAACAGATACTTTTTTTGTCTGGTCACCATCAGCATCCCAATAGAAGGCACCAGTTACCATTTTAGATCCAAGACGGTTTTGAATTTCGTTTGTTAACATGAAAGATCTGTTTGGGAAACGGAATTTCATACTAGTATCTCTGTCATCATTGCCGTGTTTACAGTCATAGGTATATCCAAATACATTGGCATCATCTACGTTTACATCAAGCGAAATTAAGTTATGACTTGTTGAACGTTTTAATTCTCCTCTAAATCCAATGGTTTTTGACGGATGTACAAATCTAAGTGCTAAGTTACACTTATTATTGCTATGACTATAAAAGGCTTCCATGTTCATATTGCTGTCTGTTTTGTCTGTATTCCAGTTTAAGCTGATATCACTGTTCATCTTCTCGGCTTCCATGTTACCTCCAATTCTGAAGTTCATAGGTCTAGGGTGTCTTGTTACTATGGTTACTGTGTGATGCTCAATATTTGAATAAGATGTGTCAATATCTAGCAGAGGTTTCCCGTTGTATTCCAAGAATATCGATTGCATGTAGTTACCAGTAGAATATTTATGTCCCATATTGACAGTTATAGTTTTAAGGGCTTCGAAAGGTGTAGAAATTGACATTGATGTCTTGATATGCTTTCCACTAGATATCTCCGAAACATCACAGGAAGCATCCAATGCAATGGTCTTTTCTCTATTCCACGAGGTTTCAACATGTGTTTGGTATTCATTTCTGTGTTTCTTGTTGACAAATGAAACACTCAATCGTTCGAAGGACTTAAAACCTGTGGTAAGAATTGCAGTGGTTTCCATGTCCGAAAGAGAATCGTAACGGAGATGAACTTCGGAATTGATTGGTTTAATCAATGGAGTGACAATTTCGATTGTGGCGCGCAAATCTTTGATGTCTCCTGTACATGATAGATTGATCTCGGAAGATTCAAGTCCCTTAAATGGAGTCTTCAACTCGATTCTGGTTGTCATTGGTCTGCTTTCTAAGTCTACTAAACCAGATAGTTTAACGGATTTCTTATTCATTTCAAAAGAAGTGTCTAAACTGTAGATCATATTTTGTCTTTCTAAGTTTCCCTTTAGAGACAATGATCGAAATGCTTGAAACGGAGTCCTGACATCCATGTTGAACGATCTTGGTGACAGTTTAACATCGCCAGTAATTTGTATTCCAGTTGAGCATTCGTAGTTTGAAAATACAGACAAAACCTGGTCAGTCCCGTGCCTGTATACCCATCTCATCAACTCGTGTCCTTTCACTGGAGTTTTTACTTCTGCTTTTATATCCATCTTTCTGAAGTTCTGGTTGAGATAATTAAGACTCATTTCGTATACCTTTTCCGGGGAAAGTGCAACAACAGCTGATGTGCTGACATAATTTGATTTACGAACATTTTTTACCGTAGCTGACATTGATTTAGCTGATTTGAAAGGCGTTTCTACCTTAATCGATGCCTCATAAGATGGTTGACTTTTCAGTATGGTTTCTACAGAGATTTCATCATTATCAATTTTTGCACTTATTTTAGAAGTGAAATCGCTGAAGCTTCTTCCACTTTTTAATTCTATTTCAGCGGTTTTTGTGATACCAGCAATGTTGACATTTAATGTTGATTTTACCTCTCCCATTTGTCTACCTTGAATGTTGGTCATCGTGTTCGACGAAATTTGGTTGTTACTTCCAACGGAGGCACTAAACGAGGATGAAGACTTTGTTAAACTTCCAGAGATGTCATACTTGATGTCAATGTCTTCTATAATTGCTGTTTTTAGTTCAAGACTTCCTTGTAAATTACTTGTTGAGGAGATATGCTCAAAACTAAGGTCATACATGTTTTGACCTTCAATAGCGAAATCAGATGTGAGACGAAAGTTTGAAGGATTGTTGTTGAAAACTACGTTCATTGACATTTCGGTTAATCCACTGACTGGAGTTTTGATATTAATTTTTCCATTGAATGGTGAAGTCTTATCAAAAACTCCATTCAATTCTACATTGTTAGATCCAACGTTCCCATTGACTTGTGTCGTAATTGTATCCCTGTCAGTTTCGTATAAGAAATTAGCTGCAATCTTCTCGTATCCTGCAACTGGAGTCTCTAGTGTAATTTTGGCGTCTATTCCATTGTATGTAACAATTGAGAATCCCCCATTGACATTTTTAGAGTTGTATATAGCATTCAAATTCGCGACAAATTGGTTTTCTCCCATTCTTCTTGTCAAACTGAAACTGCTGTCATGGACAATATTTCCTGCGAGTTTAATCAGTAATGATCCAATTAAATTGTTACGGTTTATTTTTGCAGTAGACATTAGTTCAATGTCGTCAGTAAGTGGTGAAATTGCAGCTACTTTTACCTTGTATTCATCAGAGTACTCAACAAGGATGTCAATAGATCCTTTCTGGTTGTCGACTGATATTTCAACTGCAGTACCTACTTTGGAATCAGTCATGATCATATTGAATTTTGAAGTCATAACATGGGTCTTGTCGCCATATGATAGTTCTACATTTGAGCTAAATCTTTGAACTGTTCCTTCTAAAGATATTTTCACAAATGCATCTAAGGTGAATGGTGATTTGAAAGTCATTTGAGCGTTCTTGTTGTCTTTTACGTCATATGAACCATCAAACGAAAATTCTTCGCCGTTGTAGGACGCAGAGATAGCAGTTGAAAGTCTCTTCATTTCACCAGTTGTTGTATGTCTAATATTTACTTCATGTTGACGAGAGCCTTTGTAATCCAGCTGAAGTTGAGCAGTGAAATCTTTTGGTTCTCCGTTGTATTTTACAATTGTAGTAATGTCATCGGTCCATGGTGATTTAACAACCATACTTCCATCAATTCCAGATGATGTGTCAATAGAAATGTCTCCGGATACTGTTTTATCATTGTAACTTGCCTCGGTGTTTGCCTGGATACCTGTTGATTTCTTGATTAACTTGTAGCTTACTCTTGCGTTTTGTTGCAATGCGCCATTGTAGGTGATTTTTACCAAGGACATAAAGTTTTTCCAGTTACCTTTGTGGGAGATCGCAATGATAACGTCATTATACATTGGTGTTTTCAAGGTGATCTTTCCAATAATGTCTTTTCTAGAATCAAGAGTTACCTCAAAGGAAGCTGTTTTGTCATTGTATTTCACTGAAGCCAGTGTAAAGAACTTTCTGACTGATCCATCCAAACTGAATGAAACACTGGCATCGTGCTTTAGAGAACCACTGTAGGTAATTTTAAGACAGGTTTTGAAATTTTGTATAGATCCCTCATTTGAAAAAGCTACAATGATATCATTTGTCCATGGTGTTGTGACTGTTATTCTGCCTTCAAGAATGTTTGTTGTATCAAAACTTACTGCAGTAGATACCATTTTGTTGTTGTAGGTAAAAACTGATTTAGTTGTAAACCTAACCAATGTTCCATCCATATTAAAGATTAGACTTGCATCATGCTGCAATTCTCCACTGTAAGTAACTTTAAGACAGGTTTTGAAATTATTCCCCGTGTTTTCGTGTGAGAAAGCCAAAATCATGTCCTCGGTAAATGGCGATTTCAAAGTAACTTTCCCTTCAATATCCTTGGTTGCATCAAAATTTACATCGAAGGATACCATTTTGCTGTTATACATTAAAGATGATTTTGTTCCAAACTGCATCATTGATCCATCAAAGTTAAATTTAATGCTGGCATCATGTTGTAATTTTCCTTTGTAGGTGATTTTGAGACAAGTTTTGAAATTCCTTACGGATCCCTCGTTTGAAACTGCTACAATTATGTCATCTGCAATAGGAGTTTTTAGTACTAATTTACCTTCAATGTCTTTAATAGCATCAAATATAGGTTCACCTGATGTGGTTTTACCATTGTATGTTAAAGCGCCTTTAGTGTTAAAATTCATCATTGATCCGGCATGATTGAATGTTATGAGAACATCGTGTTGCATTGATCCACTGTAAGAAATTTTGGCAATGCTCCTGAATGTCAATGGTGTTCCATTATGGGAGAAAGTGACAATTATGTCATCAGTCATAGGTGACTTCAATGTCACTGTTCCTGTTATGTCACTAGTAGCATCAAAGGAAATGTCTGCAGATATTCTCTTGCCATTGTAACTAATCTGACCATTACTAGATAATTTCTTGTATGACCCTTCGTGGTTAAATGATGCCTGAATGTCATGAGATTTCTTTCCGTATGACATCGAAGCAGCTGATTTAAAAGCAGTTGGCATCTGTCCTTGATGGTTGAAGGAAAGGAGGAAGTCGGACGTAAATGGTGTTTTCAATGAAAATTGTCCATTTATTATTCTCAGAGACTGGAATTGTAATTCAGCCATTATTTTCTGGTTGTTGTATTTGGCCTCTGCTGCAGATTTGAAGTTTCTCATACCACCGTCAAAGTCAAACTTTCCTGAAGCTGATTTTCCGTTGTAGGTAACTTGTGCATTTGATTTCAGAGATTTTTGTTCCTTTACTGCAGAGAAGGTGACTTCTAATTCATGTTGTTTAGCTCCACTGTATGATAATTGAGAAAGTGATCGTAAGTCTTTAAAATCGTAGTTAGAGGACGTAGCAAAGATCACTTCTTCTGAAAATGGAGTTTTGAGGGATGCGTCAATTTGTACTCCATTGGTCAGATCAGTTGTGATTTGTCCAGTTATTTTGTCATATCCATATGATACTTCAGAAGATGATTTAAAACTGTCCCTTGTACCATCATGGTTCATTCTAAAGACGAAGTCTTTAGTAAATGGAGATTTCATAGAACCTCTAATGTCAAGACGATCATTGACAATGACTGTCAGATCGGCTTCAGCCATTTGTTCGTTTACTCTCATTTCGCTGTGACTATCAAAATTCTTTATAGTGCCAGAAAACCTAGTAGATACATCAGCATTTCGTAGTCTTGCAAATGGCGTTCGAATTGTGACAGATGCCTTTGACATGTCATCAGATGAAATTGTGACGTCAGTCGTTATCTTCTGTTCGTTGATTCCAGCTTCAAAATGACCGTTCATACCATTCATCGGTCCAGTTTTAGAGTATATAATGTACATCGTCTTTGCAGATTCAAATGGAGTTGCAATAGAAATTCTTCCTGAGACATCTGATTTGCTGTCCATTTGTGTCTCAACAATGATCTTTTCTTTTCCGAATGATGCCTGTAAGGTTGCTTTGTTGTTGAATATGACACCCTCGTGTTCAAAAGTTGCTTCCATTTTTGGTACCTTCAATACTTTGATGGAGACAGTTCCGAATGTTTGTCCTCTTTGACTGAACAAAGTATCAAAATCTAAAATGGTTTGTTTACCATATGTAATGCTTGATGAAGATTTCATTTCCCCCTCATTTTTATGCAAAATTGTAGCTTTTACAGTTTCTGTATATGGTGTCTGTAATGTCAGTTGTCCCTCTACACCACTGAGTGAATTAAATGAGACATCAGCGACACTCTTCTTCTTGCGGAAAAGAACATTTGCTCGCGAACGGAAATTATTTAAGCTTCCACTATGAGTAAAAGAAATATCGGTTTCCTGATAACCGACAATTGGTGTTGACATTTTCATTTCCGCTGACAGTTGACCTACGGTATTGAAATTGATCTGAGCTGAATACTTGTCCTTGTTCGCTGCCAAATCCATTTTTGTGTTGAATTCTGATAGGGAACCCGTGTGAGAGAAGGAACCAGCCATCTTTTCATATTTCTTAAATGGAGTTTTAATGGAAATATCAGCACTTCTCGTTGGTTTGTTTATTAAGATATCTGCAGATATCGTATCTTTCTTGAAGTACGTAATTTCAGCATGAGACTTTATCTTGCTATCTGATGTTTGATGCGACAATGATGCCTTGACATTTTTGTAGCCAACAAAAGGTGTCTGTGCGGCTAGTAAAATATCAACGGAAGGTTTAATTGCAAATCGTATATCTGCAGCGACCATGTTTTGTTTACCACGAGCTATCTCTGCATGGGATTTAAAATTAGAAAATGATCCTTCGTGTGATACAGCAGCATTCAGTTTCTTCCAACCGGCAACTGGTGTTTCTACACTTGCTTCCCAGTTGAATTTAGACCCTACTGATGTTTTCATGTTAGCCTTGATGACGTCTTTTCCTTTTTTAACATTGGCATCACACTTGAAGCTCTTCCATGTTCCTTCGTGCTTAACATTGGCAATGACTTTCTTATATCCTTTAAATGGAGATACAAATATAAATGTAGCTTTCATTACTTTCGCTAGGCGGAAATTAAAATCAGTACTTATTTTCTGTTTCTTGCTGTAGATTAGGTTTATTTTGTTTCTGAAGCTTCTTAGTTTACCCTTGTGAGAAAGAGTCAAGGTAATATCTTCAAACAGTGAAGAAGACAATTTCACTGAACCCTGGAGACGTTTTCCAGAAATAAATGCGACATCAGCGGAGGCTGGTTTCATTTTACCGTAAGCATATTCAACATGGGATTTAAGATTCCTCAAGGACCCTGTATGATGGAAAGATGCTTTAAAGTCATCCATGAATGGTGATTTAACTGTCAAAGATCCTTGCATTTTAGCCAGATTTTTAAAGACTACTTCTATTTGATGTGGCTCACCCTTCTTGTATTGTGCTTTAACGAGGGAATTGAATTGTTTTATGCTACCTTTATGACTTATCTCCAAAGATATCTTATCCATAGATGGACATTTGTAAGACACGGAAGTCTTAAAGTTAGCTTTATTAATAAATGATATGTCCAATATGTGTTTCTTGTTGCCCTGGTACTGAAGTTCGCCGTGTGTCTCCATTGAGGGATATTTGCCTTGATGGTAGATTGTCAGACTTACTGGTTTATTGTGTGGGCTTTTGACGGTGATAGAAGCGTCTTTCCTTTCAGCGTTGCTAGCGGAAGTGTCTACAGAATATATATTTCCCTTGGGATATTCGATTCCTACATAAGATGCAATGCCTTTGTCGTCATTTGTGTGTTTTATGGAAGCAGATGCATGCTTCAATTTGGCGAACGGAGTCTGAATTTCTATAGTTGCATCCATGTTATCTAAATGTACTGAGTGACTCGATTTGACACTGATAAACTTAGCTGGAAGGTATTCTATATTAGCAACTGTTCTTGTGGAACCGCTACTTCTTTGACTAGAGACGGCTATCTGACTATATGGAATGACCTTGAATGGGGTTTCAATGCGGAAGTTACCATCGAATCCACCATAAGTATTTACGGCACTGGATACCAAGAACTTCTTCGTGATTGGTTCTGCTTCAATGCTGCTTAAAAGAGAGAAAGATCTTAAGTCTCCTTTAGCTTCTATTACTGAGTTAATTGTTTTCATGGATTCATATGGTGTGGCAACAAATGTAGTGAACACAAAAGCATTATCCCAACGGAATCGGTTTTCCAACGATATTTCCTTTCCGTTATCGTATCTGAGTAAGCCTGACGTCATAATTACTTCATCTTGTTTCTTCTGCTTGATATCAACAATAATGTCGTCTGTAAAGGGTGTTGATGTCTTCAGGAAACCTGTTGGGTACCCAGACGTCAGGTCGACAATACCGTTAACGGCTATTCTCTTCTTATCCATTTTCAAACTGACTGACGCCTCTTTCTTGACATCAGATTTATAGTTGATGTCAGCAGCGTATTTTGTTCCTTTAGGACAAGTGTAAGTTATCCCAGAGTCTATGGCATTATTTCGAGTTGAATGTTTCAATGATACTGACATTGTTCGTATGTCATTGAAGGGAGTATTTATGTCTAAACTGCCTTCAACGTGATTATTCTGCACCATGTAGTTTGATTTTATGATTATTTCTTTCTTTGGGAGATATTCAATAGACAGATCTGATGATGTCATTCTAGTTGATGGTTTAGAAACCAAAATTATTTGACTGTATGGTATTTGTTGGAATGGCGTTTCCAAACGAATTTTCCCATTTAGTCCATTGACAGAGTTCCATTCGGATGTCAACTGGATTCGTCTAAAAATAGGTTCAATTTCTATTCTTGCGACTGTTTTGAAAGCGGTTATACCTCCATCTAAACTGAGTAGTGTTTCAAATTTCCTGACAGACTCTATTGGTGTTACGACTGATATCTTGATAATTTTGTTGTCGTCCCATCTGAATCTATTTTCCATGGCCATAATTTCAGTTTTTCCATACTCAATAGAAGATGAAATGATCTGTTCTCCATCAACTGCTCGGTCAATACTTAATACAATAGGTTTGGTAAATGGAGATTTAATTTTCAGTTTACCATTTTGACTGTTCTGCTGACGATCATAGGTTCCGCTGACATCGATTTCATTATTATTCATCTTCATATTAATTTGACCTGACATTGGAAAACGGGCATATTCAGATATAATTGAAGTTTCAAAAGCGAATTCAGACATTTTAAAAGACTGTTTTGACATTATCTTGCCAACTTCTCTCTTGTAGTCTACCTGCCCAGACATCATTACGTTATCATTAATAGATAAGGTCGCTGAACTGTCTATTAGTGATGGTCTGTGTTGATGGTCAACACGCAGAACGATATTATCCATAAATGGAGATTTAATCTTTAGGTTAAAAGATATTCCGCCTTCGCTGAACGTGATGGCTTGTCTTCCATTTACGTCAAATTCATAAGATTTGCCATCGATATTAGATTGTATTTTAGAAGTGAGTTCATTTTTGGAAATGCTGTGGTCCCAATTTGCATCATATTTGTTATTTGGTACAATGACGACAATCTTTCCTTTATTCTTCAGCCCTTTTTTCGTAAATCTGTGATTCATTTGACCTTCATACTGGTATACCTTGCCATTATGCTCCACTACTAAAGCGTTCTGGTATTTGTTGTCAGTGGTTTTGTGGTGGAAGCTTACAGACGCTGTTTTCAAGCTAGATAATGACGATTTTACACTCATTACACCGTTTACATCCCGGTTTTCGGTTGTGCCATCATTACTGTATTTGATATCAACTTGCATTTTCTCGTTGTTGAGTTCAGTTTTCAACATACTTTTCAGCTTTCCGGTGTAATCATGATCTACTTCTACTGAGGACATTCTGAAGCCATCAAAGGGTGTTTTTACTGTAACTATTCCGTGAAATTTATTTGCATTGAATGGTTTGTCCAAATTTACTAATACTCCAATTTTGTTTGATTTCTGCCAAGTGATATCAATTGTGTTCTGGTATTGTTTGGTAGTTGACATCATATCAAAATTCAGTTGTACTAAGCCAGATGCCGGTGTCTGCATTCTAAGGGTTCCAGCTTTACCATTATCTTTGTTGTTTAGATTTAGATCTAATGCTACTTTTTCTTTCCCTGCCACTAAGACATCAAAATGGCCCATGGTATTTTTATCAACAATGTGATTATAACTTGACAAGACACTAGTGATTGGGTTGACAAATTCTAGTCTTGCATTAATATCCATGGAGTTTTTGTATGTCAAATCCCCTACAAGTTTAAGTCTTTTGGATTCATCTTTATCAGCATCCCACTTAACATCAAATTTTCCTGAATACTGAGGATGGTTTTTCATCGCTTCAATGTCAGCTGTTACACGTCTGCTGTTAACCTTCACATTCCCAGACATCTTGACCATAACCTTCGGTTTGTATTGGGAAGTAAATGCCATTACATATGATTTTCCTATCTGTGCTCCAAGTCTGAAATCACGAGGGCTCCCGTTTATCTGACCGGCAATGGTAAATGGTTTTCTTCCTGGAAGTGTTATATCATTGGATATTTCGTATTCAATATTTGACATGCTCTTAATGGTGGATTTTATCGTTGTTCTTTGTTTACCAATAGTGGAAGCGAAGTCGTTGGTAAATTTTTGCTTGTTTTGCTGGATAAAGACATTTGACATGGAGAGGGTTTTCTCATTCCATGAGAGGGAAAGTCCACCAGAAACGGATGTCAATTTCTTTGTTTTATCTTTCAAAAAGACTGATGTGCTGAAGGTATGTTTCTTTCCAACGGACATTGAAACGCTGGTATCCAGTGCCTTTTTGTTATGGATATGACTTCCTTTTATCTTCAAGTCTGTTTCCTAAAAAACAGAGCGTTTGATTTCATATAAACATTGGTCATCAAGAAAGTTCTGACCTGCATATGAAATATCTTATTCATTCCTAAATGTAAATTCACTTACAGACTATACTGATATAATATTATGTTAATCTATGGCTCTATGAAAAAGTGATATACTGTATATGAAACATAGAATAGTACCTTTACACTGCAAATTATTGTAATAGCTTACTGATTCAGGGTGCTTCAGTTGTGCGCTGATTCTGACATCACTTGCCCGCCATGCTAACTGGTGTTTTACTGTCGATGAAAAGCTTATCATTTTGTTTAGATCTTTCTTATTCGCACCATACTGGGCATTGAAGTTGGTTGTTGTCAGTTTAGCGTTTGTCAAAAAATTCATTCCGAGATTAAGGTTCAAATGTGACTTCTTCTTGAAATTCAAAACACTGTAAAGAAATACCAAAAGCTCTAGAATATATGTATCTCAACTTAACATGTTAGACAAAAAGTTAAATTACATTATATGAACAAATTGTCTGATCAATTAAGATGATGGCTCAATATTTATATGTGATAGTTAAACTATTCAAGCTGGCTTTGTATAATTTCTGACTATGTTTGACTTAAAGATAATCTAGTAAATCAAATAATAACTCTCACCCATTTCCCTTGACCGATGTTGCTTTCTTTGTTGATTTCATGATGACCTTTGTGTTCATGGTAACCTTATCACGTGCTACACGTGGTATGATATAATCAAACGTGGTTCTGGTAATGATAGATATAGGTTTAATCATAACATTGGATCTGCCTTTAGTTGTCAGAATTGGAGATTGAATGTTCATTTTTGCCTGATAACGGGCTTGCTTTGCGTTTCCTGTATCTCTTACTTGAACTGAAAACAAAAATTTTAATTGAAAATGATTCCCACAAACATTGAAGGTTTGGCTCTAGTTTAACCATTCGCTACAATTTCCCGATTGAAAATGTCTCTAACATGTCAACAATATAACATAACTTTTGTATTACTCTGTTTTGTTTCGTCTTTTAGATTTTGACGTTTCCTCTAGGGTCACCATCTTTTTATATCGCCTACGGAGATCAGTAAACAACATTTGAAATGTTAAGTATATGTAGGTTCCCGAATAAATTCATATAAAATTCTGTTATCCATACACAATCAAGTTAAATCCCAACAAGTTCACGTATCATAAGAAATCACATTATATTTTCTAACATGAAAGGGTAAAATGCATATAATAGAACAATAAAATTGAGAATGGAAATGGGGAATGTGTCAAAGAGACAATAATCCGACCAAAGAGCAGAAAACAACCGAAGGCCACCAATGGGTCTTCAACACAGCGAGAAAATCCCCACCCGAGGCGGGCTTCAGCTGGCCCCTAAACAAAAATGTGTACTAGTTCAATGAAAATGGGCGTCACACTAAACTCCAAAACATATAAATGAACTAAAATTTAAAAAAACATCCAAGACTAACAAAGGCAAGAGGCTCCTGACTTCGGACAGGCGCAAAAATGCGGCGGGGTTAAATATGTTTTGTGAGATCTCAACCATCCCGTATACCTCTAGCAAAGGTAGAATAAATAAACACACAGCAATACGCACAGTAAAACTCAGTTTAAAAGATGTCCGAGTCCGATGTCCGAATAGGTAACAAAAGAAACTAAGCAAAATGACAATGATACATACATTAACAAAGGACTACTAGCAGTTACTGACATGCCAGCTCAAGACCCAAATTAAACTGATTGAAAGATTATTTCTTTATCATATGAAAATCAAGCACAATCCCTCCAGTTAGAGGGTTTAGTATCATACCATCATAAAATATATGAGAACAACATTACCCGTATCATTCCAACAACAGGCAAATCTACTTACCAAAATATTTCATTGGAGAACGTGTCAATCCAGTTACGGTCATGTCAACCTTCATAGCTTTCTTATATTTGATTTCCACAGAGCCACCAAGACCCATCAACAATTTTGTTGGGGTTTTTACTGAGATAAATGGACTGTATCTCAAAGATTTCTTAGTTACTAGTTTCTGCATTCTGGTTTCGAAGCTATACTCTTGTTTTTTGTCCATTGTCAAACTGCCCTTAAGTGATCTGATAACCTTCTTGTTAAGCATGGTTACTACAAATAAAAACGCCACAACCCATATAATTAAACTTTTCTGGTTTATAGAATCATGTAATGGTACACAATTTGGAAATAATTCTATGTCAAGAATGAACAAACCAAAAGTTTGATTTAACCAATCATTGGTTAAATCAAACTTTTGGTTTGATCATTCTGAATCTTTAAACATTGAAACAGTGACAGGAACAATTTCAGTAAAATCAAGTATAAGGTGATTGTTTGCATTTAAGGTATATAAAACCAAGTGATTAGGAGGTAAATCTTAAAATCTTGTGTGCTTATTTGTTTTGATTTATTATATATTTATATTGACATTCTTTGCAGAGGGAGATGGCTTTGTCTATTATTATCAACACTTTAGATCGTATGGCATAATCATCAACAAACTTGGACAGTATCACATCTTTGAAAGAAAACTCACATCTCATGTTGATTGGTTGTTTTGAAACTCCAAGAACGGTAAATGCAGAATCCAAAGTTTTGCCCGCTAAATATTCAATAGTTCCATCAAGTTTGATGTTGTCCTTCTTTGGTATGACTATTTCTACAGATGGTGTATATACCATTGTAGAAGATTTCTTCTTACTAGCTAAAGCTGCATTGACTGAGTACTCTGATTGGTCAATAAGTAATTTACCATTTACTTGTCTTTGTTGTGTATTGACAGCTCCTATAAAATACATTAGTGTTTGCTTTTCTATTTGACAGATTAATACTTAAAAAGAAATTCTATTCTTATTTGTATGCTAAATAAGAAAAGTACCGAACTCCAAGGTAAATTTAAAAAGGGGGACGTCCATAAAACCAAAATCGTGGTTATTCAAGGTTCCAAACTTTAAAAGTAATAATGATTTATATTTGACAAAAAAAATTGATAGCATTGTCACTTGCAAATAACATTGGAAGTGTTAAAAAGTATTGCATAACTCTGAATATATTAAAAGTTACCGTTGAAAGTGGCCTTTTTCCATGGTGACAGCATCAGCATTTCAATATCATGCTTCTTCATATTCAAATTAAAACCAAGTCTCATTTCTCTATCGACCTTTGACCCTGGTGTGTTTAATCCTATATTGGCAGTCACTACAGATTTTGTCTAAAATATATTATAATAATAAAACCAGTATATCTCACGTTGGCAAAAGAGTTCAAATTAACCATTTAAACAAAAATAAAAAATAAAAGCAGAAATAATATATTTATATTCTTATATATTCTTGAAGTATGATTGGTGTCACTATTATTAAAAAAACAAAAAAAAAGTATTATTACCTAAATGAAAAGATAGGGATTACATCTCTAGGCCAACAATAAATCCATAATTTTTTAACATAAGTCTAAAGCAAAGAGCTAAAACTGCAAATCAGAGATGATTACCTTTCCGAATTTATACTCCATTTTGTAACTAGTATGACTGTCTCTCTTGTACAGTGTAACACCTGCTGTCAATGGTCCAGTTAAAGGGAAATATGGAGAATCAGCCTTTAAAGAAGCATTAGGATAGGAAATTTCACCACAGAGTTCAAGTCCAGTCACGTGTGAAAGTTTATCGCCAGTGCATAGTTTCTTTGTTTGTCTGTTTTGTGTTATCATCTTTTGTTCACGGGTCTCATCACGATGAACGGTAAAGAATGAAGTTCTGAAAAAAGAGTTAAACATTAAGATTTTACAAGACAAAAACTGAGAAGGGTTTATATGTTACAAAATTAACATATATATGGATATGGATAAGTTACTGCTTTCTCTTTTCTTCTTTCAAACACGGTTTACTTTTCCAGAAATGCAAATTTAAAAGTACAAAAGAAGAACTAAACAGTCAATGATTCTAAAATGCATGCTGTTTGTGTATGCTAATAAGTATTTTAGGGTTGTCATTCGAGTGAAGTTTACCTTTATTTCACCTCGCACTTGATTCTAAAATAATTGCTAATTCGTGATAAAAAGTAATTACAAAATTAAAAAACAATAACGTACAAAAGTATAAACCTAAAAATATGAGATGAGTACACTATGCCATATGTATTGGAACAGATTGGCAAACTTAAACCACAGTTTAAAATTTCGATTTCATACTTACTTCGCTTCAAATACTTCTGTCTTAGAATCTGGTGTTTTCCATTCGGCACTAAAGAGTTGTCCACCTTTAAGTTCAAGATGACCTTCAACAGCAGAGGCAGAGTTCACTGAAGATACCATTTTCATTCCAGCTTTAGTTACAAAGGCATCAACAGTCATTAGACTTGTCACCTCCAAAGCAGCACTGATTTAAATAGATATTTATATTGATCAAGATAAAAAAAAATGTACCTCGTAAATATTCATTTCTTAATGATGCGTATGGATATATATCTCCTGAGATCTATATTCTTTCGCATCTGTGTTAACTCTAGACCAGTAAAAGATCTATGCTTTTACTGTTTAAAGTTAAAGTGTAATAGTTATTACATTATTGGGTAATGAACTGCAATTTTTTGTTAATGTGAATTTTTGTTTTCTTTTAGTAGATCATTTTTATTTAGATAATATCATCTATGTTGAGGTTTTTGTTGCGAATAATTACGACAAGCGTTGTGTTCGAGTGACCAAAGCGAAAGGAGAACATAAAACACCATTCAAACTATTGTTGTCGACTGGTGTGTGCTAATTTGGTTAATGACTTTGCTGATGTTTCAGTTTTTCATTCAATCCTACTTTTGGCTTTGGTTTAGTTTCATTTTTTCCTCATTAGTACGCTTATTTTTTGTGTTGTGTTTTAATTGTTTTAATAGTAAAATTGTGTATACGAGTATTTAAATTTTACCTCGGTCGAATTTTTCCATCGATGGAAACTGTCATAGGATTTGACTTAATTTGTCTAATGTCCATTTTACCGGACGCTTGAACGTCAATTGTGGCACTTCCGTCTAAACTGATGTTGAGCGGGAAACCAGACATAGTTGGAATAACAATACTGGTATCCAGAAACATGAAGCTTTGCGTGAAAGAATAGTCTTGCTCTTTAGCCAGATTGATGATAAAATCCAGAATGTTGAAGTTTTGTCCTTCAATCAGACTTTTAATATCGTCGGTGTTGATGTACTGTAATTCATTGCCAAATATTCTCAAATACATGCTACCTTTGAACTCTTCCATGGTTGATCCAAACTAGAAATAGCAACAAAAAGACTTTAATTGACGCTTCTGTATTATTCAAAACAAAAAACAAACAAAAAATTATCAGAGAAAAAGTGTACAAAACAAGCGTTAAGAACTAAATTTCTGGTTGTTTATATAAATTTTGCTTTTTAAACAAAACGAATGAAAAATTAATATTCAACCAAAAACAGGGAATAAAGGAATAACATGAATGGATTTCAAATATAACATGAACAGAAAGGCTACCTTTTTCCAATATTATTTCATTTTTGTTTTACCTCCTCATTTAGTTTATCCATTGCTTTGTTGCTAATTCCTTTCACGGTTTGTTTGACAACATCCTTTGACTTGCCAAAATATCCTTCAGGTCCAAAGTAGGATTCAAGGAAATACTCTAGCCCTTCTACTCTTCCACCAAGCTCAAACAGGTTGACAGAGTGACCGAAAAGATCGATGGTTAGGTTAGTCATGGCTGATCTTGGAAGAAAAGACTGAGAAGACCAAATGAGATTGCTGTCAATTGCTGCACCTGTGTTAATCTTTTCTAGGAAAAATGAAGCTTCATAGTTTCTGGAATACTTCATTTTTTCTAAGTTGAATTCTTTCTTAAGCATGTCATTGGATAAAATTGATTTTATGCTTTGTTTCAGTGGACTTGATGTTTCCACTAGATTTGTAAGGTGAGTCCAGACAAAGGAGCCGACTTGATTTACTTCTTCTGATTCCAGCGTTGTCTGGATTCTGTTGAGGATAGATTTTGAGGGAATTGTCATCAATCCTAGATAAGCAGCAATTCTTATTTCGGAATCCTCATCACGATTTGAGTAAATTGTCATTAACTCGTTTCTCTGAAAGAAAACAAATCCTATGTTGAAGATCTATTTCTTACATGTCAATTTTACCGGGTCCCACTAGATGTTCACTTGACTTTAGTTTGTCAGATTCCAGTAATAGTATATTCGTTATTTGCCTTGCACACACTGTTTTTAGTATAGTTGGTTTTTTTTTACCCAAAAGAATTATGAATGTAAAATGGTACTCTTTTTATAAAATAAATCAATCATGATATTTAATGACAGTTACACAAAATAACATTCACAATAGTGATCAGGCTGTATAATCTTATTTATTCATCAATAAAATTAAGACAATTTCAAAAATAGTTGAAAAATATAGTGTTGGCAATTTAAGTATTCAAATAATAGTTTTAATTATCAATAGAAACTTATTATGACACGAATAAGAAACATTTAATAAATTTTTTAATTACGTTTGCATCACATGTCATTCGGCGGAAGGCTTGAGCTGCCGCAAGGCGAACCTCTGTCGGGTTTTCTTTTCTAGTCAAACAGCTGTTTACCATTGTGATACTGCTAGAGAAACCAGCATTACCAAAGGCACGCAAGGCACGGATAATCTGAAACAAAATTTTAAAGCTCAATGAATTTTCCTAAATTCAAAACATTTTTGCCCAATACTGACAATATTATTCAAAAGCGAATTATCTAATGAACAATGAAAACTTTTTTTAAGAATGAATGAAAATGCTTACGTTGTAAACATTGTTCTTGTCTGCATAGCATCCAACACCAATCTTGTCTTCTAAGCTCGCCACAAGGTTTACCAAATCAATGTCGTTAGCACAGGAAGAAGTTTTACAGTAGGTGTACACCAGTGATGAAACTGCAAGCATGGCTTGTCCGTTCTTTGTATTAGTCAATAAAGGCTATAACGAAAAGCATGAATACCATATATTAAGATGAAACGTATGTATACATTTACATATTTGAAAAAAACGTCGCTGTCCTTACGTATACAGATATTTACATATTTCAAAGAACCGTCATTATCTATACGTATACATATATTTACATATTTGAAAGGACGTCACTATCTATACGTATACATATATTTGCATGTTTGAAAGAACTGTTACGTTCTAACATTTCGAAAACGAAATCATTTCAGTAAATGTTTAATACAAACGTTTCGTTTCAAGTTTATATTTTAAGAGTTATATATACCTTCAGTTCCAATAGCATGTCTTTTGTTGGGTGCTGAATAAAAGATAGACTTGTCATCCACATATCAGCTTCAGCTCCGGTGACTTCATCGGTATTTATCATATTTGCCATCATTCTCAAAGAAGCTTTAGTTCCGACCATTGGAATGGCGTCAAGGAAGAATTTCCTGTAAATTATGAAAAATTGTACTACACTATCAACATAAAAGCAAGCAAATAGTCATACATTTATGCCTTTTTACACTTACGGTATCAATTATTTGGAGCTCTTAAATAGATTGGCATGGTCACTCTACAAAGTATCGAAAAAAGATATATTTTCTTTATTATTCTGATCGAATTACCGGTGCCTTATTTTAAATTATATTTGATATGAAATTATGTGATAAAAGAACTCTAATACGGTTAACCGGCATGTACAATGCCTCAAATAAAAACACAGCTTTTCAACCTATGGGCAGATACAGAAAATCTGTATTGGACCGGTCTTATATCGGAAAATCACTCTCTGTTTTGTACGATGAAAGCTTCATCAAACTTTGGCCCTATATTGGTGCATTTTGTATACATTTCAAACAAAATTACACGAAAAAGTTTTAATTGTTCCGTGTTTTGTCTCCATTAGAAACATAAAAATGAATAGCATTTCCGTGTGGCATTTTCGAATAACATCATTGTTTTGTTCACGTCAACCAAAAACTACGAACAAAAACGCAAAAGTTAAGAATGAATATATATATATATATATGACTTATATCTTTAAGAATTCGTGAAATCTTGTACAGTACTGATACCTTAAATGGCAAATACCGTAACAAAAATATAGTTGTTTCATATTATACATACTTGACTTTAGGATTCTTTGGACAGACTTTTCCCGAATGTACTTTCGTGTGGACACTATCCATGCTATCGCTATCCAAAGTTTTCATAAGTCGGACAAGCTCAGTAAACTGTTTGGCTGTGGATACTTTCACGGCATCTTTGGATAATTCGCAAAATTCTGTCAGTTTGTTCAGAACCTCCTTCTGTGCGTTTTCAGAATTGATGTTGTCAAAAGCATGCTCAAATGCCAATGTTGTTCTCTTTTCAGTAGACACTAAATTAAAGACAAGTTACTAAGTTAAGAATTTATTTATATATAGTTTGAACGTTAATGAAATAAACAATTTATAAATGTCTTGCGATCGTTCGTTTTTCTAGTCTGACCTTAATCAGGAATGCCCAAACTTAAACATTTAGAAGCCAGGGGTGTGTGAATACGCTACAGCGTAATGAGCTTTATCACTAAAAAGGACCTTAACAGAGTAGCCATATTTATTATATACTTAGTAGTAAATACAGATAAATTGTATGTGTAATACAATCATTGGCAAGCGTGCTGTATCAGCCACCCGTGATGATATCGATATCAGCACAGTTGCAAAGGCTTTATCACACCTTTAATCTGCATGACGTTACGTCATCGATTGCATTCACTGTTGCAAAGGCTTTATCAAACCCCTAATCTGTATGACGTCATTTCAAACCTTATCTGTATGACGTCGTGTCACATAAAAAACATCTACGTGAGGTATATGTATATAATAAAGTGTATATGATATGGCTTTTTCAATATCACACACCGTATCAACCCTCAACCAATATAATCCCTCGAGCAGAGCTCTTGGGATTATATTGGTGTCTCGGGTTGATACGGATGTGATATTGAAAAAGCCATATGATATTCTCTATTTATTTAAGGTCAACTTTGTCTTAACGTAGTTAACATGCCATGAATTAAAAGTATAAACTCTAGTATTTAATTTTTCTTTACTATAATATTATTGTTAAAAAAAGATCTTTGAACGTTAATATTTGGAAGCTGTTTGCAGACTATAAGTCCTAAACGAGAGCCGAATACCAAAACTCGTCTCAGGTGCTCCAGAAGGGTAAGCAGATCCTGCTAATTGTTCTTTTGATTCACGATGCATATATGAATAGTTTCTGTTCTTTCAATTTTACCTTTTGTAGATCTGCTTTGACTCTCCGAAATATATTTCAAAGTCTGTTTAGTTTCTGTAACAGCTCCACTGGATTCCCTGGAGAATGGTCGGAGAACATGTTGTTCCTCACAACTGCTGCTCTGAAGGATACCAGTTTTACTGATTCCCTGCTGACATTCGTGTGTGCTTTTAACCAATGGCATTGACTGGATTTCCTAAAACGGAAAAAAGGTTGTGAAAACTGTTTAAGCAATACACAATCCTTGGTTTTATATATTATTCGTTAAACATGTTACAGAATTATTATTGTTGTAATTATCTATTGAATATAAAATTATAACTTACTGATGGAACCCTATATGGTGTTCCTTGCATGGCCGTTTTGTAACCATGACGATCTACACATCCTAATGTGTCTTTTGTCTTTTTAATTGTCATTGTGTACCACCCATTGGAAGCCAAAGAGTAATTTACATCACAACTTCCGGTTACATCCATCTGAAAAGTATTTCATAATTTTGTTTATTCAAAAACATACAGTAAATCTTGAAAAATAACAAAAGTTAGTAGTTCTGGTTTTATGAAATCACTTTTAATTTTTAAAATAACGATATGACCCGCACGAATAATGTTATCTTGCGAAAACATTGAATCTTTGTACTTTTGTTTAAAAGTTTTTTGTAGCTTGCCAAAAGTCCAGTCTTTCAGTGGATTTTGAAAGGTTGTAAGCAATTCGACCGGATCTTATCAGTTTAGAATAAAGGTGATAGAAAAATGAATCAAGAAAATTAATTACACAAAGCTATGGATGCATGGAGAGATTTACCCAATCGACGCACCTAGTTTCTCTGGGTTAAGAGTTCTTGCGATTATCTCTAGTTTTCCACTTGGTTTGTGTTTTCACAATGGAGTAACGAGTTCTGAACATCGGTTAACCGTTGCTGTATCTGATATAGCATTTCGGAGCTTCCCAAAAGTTGTTATTTCTTTCAGTGATCATTGGTAGAAAGTTTTCTTATTGGCCATTTGACCGAATTTTATTGATTTTAAAATGTTAAAAAATAAGGAATCTTAATTCTTGAAATCTTAGGTCTTATTTTATTGTAGAGCATCATAACATAGTTCTTAAAAGGTTTAGACATTATAAACCGTTCCATAACGACACCCAACAGTTTGAATTCCTACGAAAGCGAAATAATTCTGCAAATAGTTTATCTTTACATAATTTTAGTGCAACTTATTGGAAATATAAGTAATGAAGGTTATTTTACGGATTTAATTGGTGTGTAAGCTCAGCCTTTTACTTATAAACTTAACTTGTAAGTCTTTTGTTCGGACTTTAGGTCTTAAAGACTAAGACTTAAAGTCATTAACGCGAGTGGGGTAGAAAATTGCAATGAAAATAAATTTGAAAAGCCGATAAATTCGGACATATTCTAGCGATTTGAATATCAATCAAACCCACATTTAAAAAAATTAACCTGTTAACAACAGATTATACTACAATATTTTACCTCTTTGGTTTTCTGTTCTTGACTGAAGTCATCCATAGAGTTCTGGAAAGCAGAGATGATTGCACGTTTGATATTAAGAGCCCATGTCTGTTCGTCGTTAGAAGGGCATAGTTCATCAACACGGCCATCTTGGAAGGAAAACATCAATGGATTCTGTTCAAGACTTTTCTTGAATTCGCCAGTGACATCGGCATTGCGTTTTGTGTTTGGTGATTTAGGGTCTGATTCAGTAAGTACAACATCAGAAACCTGAAAATTGATAGAGATGATCATATTAATTCATTTGAATTCTGAATGTAAAAATTTATCGATATGAATTCGATCTAACGAGACAAAATTCTTAATAAATTAATGAAACAATGTTTACTAAAAGTTAACGGAAACAACAAAATTGATGACATTTAGTCATTTTTAAAAGTTATGCCGCGTTCACACTGCCCATGTGTAACATGGTTTGTGTACACAAGTAGTATTGTTTAAATCTTCAAAATAAAAACTAATAAATTGTTTGACATGCATTCAATTCTATATTAAAAAGTTAATTAATAGCTGCAAGTGTTTCAGAAATTAACGCATTATTTATTTATAATTAATTTGAATTAAACTTGTTTAAGCCTCAGTGTGAACACGACGTTAGATTAACTTTGAGGATTACCTTAAGCACTAGATCGCATTTTGACTGAACCTCGATGTGAACTTTTGCAGCCATGTCAATTTCCGCTTTATCTTCGGAAGCCCCTTGTATTGTCGTTGACACCTTTGATGTGTACTCATAGTCATATGTCTTTCCGGTTTCGTATCCAAATTTTTTCGTTTCTGCAAAATAAAATAATGTCCTTTAAAAACCTCCTGTATGTGACACCAGTTTCGCATTTAAATACAATGATTATCAGAAGTTATTGGGAAAGGCATTTGATTCAGAAGAAAACAGTTTAATTTTCGTTACTTTAATTGAGCAGGGAAATATGCGTATGGCTGTACATGAGACAAATATCTAGGAAATAAAGAATCAACTTTTATGTCGAAATGAATGCGGTTTTCTTCTTCTTGGCAACTGCTTTAAAATTTGCATATCTTAATGATTCAATACAATTTATGTTAATATTCCGCTGGATTTCAAGTAACAAAATGTGAAACAAATGACTTACCTGTACATTGTCTTGCGCATGTAGAAGTATGTGATTTAGGCAGTTTAGCTGAAAACGAATATCATAGATAAGTATAAAAATAAGAAGATGTAGTTTGATTACCAATTAGAAACAACTCTCCACCAGAGAAATTGAACTTTTCTGGGTGAACAATTGTAATTGCCTCTATCTACTTTCGTACATTATTTATTTATGTAATTGTATTGAAATATGTATAATTATCTCTATACCTTTGAAATTTGGTTTGTGAGAAAATAAAAATATATATATAGAGACCAAATGACGTAGAAGTTAACGACTACTTCATCGTAAGGATTTGAACAATAATCAAAACCCATACCTCATACTATTATAAAAGGCCCCGAAATGACAAAAGTAAAACAATTCAAACGAGAAAACTTACGGCCTGATTTATGTACAGAACAATAAAAAAAAAAAAATATGATATACAGCAACAGTCATATTCACTGAATCAGGTTTTGTAAACAATTTTTACAACAATACGGTTAATTATTAGCATTTTCATATTATCATTCTTTATTACGAAATACACATGTGTGTTTGAATAATAAGTTATTTATTTTCATCTTAACTTATTTGAATTAAAAGAGCCTAGCATATGACAAACCTGCTTGATTTAGTACCACAAGGGCACATAATATAAGTAACTTTTGCCCCATAATAGAGCTTGTGTAATGTCTCGTTTCACTAATTGAAGTTTTCTCATTTGACTGTGTCTTTTATACTAAATATGTGATAACAAGTTGCTGACAAACATTAGGGTGCAGGGTAAATTCCTCGATAGTAGATCTATAATTAATTATTATCTGTACTTTGTTAGGTTCATTAAAAGTTATCAATCATATCTTTCATAATCGTAGGTCAAATATCAATAGAAAGTTTAAATATGATATTGCACAATCATTCTCAATTCACAATAAATTTCATTATTTGAAAAAAAAATTTGTTTATAAGTTATAAAATTAGTTTTTGAACAATAATGTTTAGTTTAATGTTTTCAAAATAATAAAAACAAATAGCTTCATTTGAATTAGAGTGCAATGTTACAGCGAAAACTTACTTTAAAGAGAATTAATATCAAGTGACGTGATTTTAACTTTCTGTTAATAGTCTTTTAGTGACAATAATCTGATTTTCATTCAACACAGATAATTTCTTCAAGATTGTTCCAGATCCCTTGAGGCTAAAGTGACAAAATTGCCTATATCTTATATTTGTTCAAAGAATTCAACCCGGATCACATTTTTCACCTTTAAGCGAATTTTCTTCTACTCTTTTAACTCGAAAAACAGCGTACCTGTCTTTCATTGATAAAAAGTTCAATAAAAAGTTAACAAGATTAATTGTCTGTTTGTCAGTTTTACATGCTTTTTCAAAAACGAAATTAAATGAAAGGTTTCAATTAGATCTTATATGAATTTGGCGTGTTGAAATATATACAGAATGTACGTTTAACTGATTAAAATGAATATGAAAATTATTTTTAAAATTCATATTTCCACAAAATCCAATACATACATTTTTCTTAAAACTGATATGCGAATGCAAGAAATCTACTATTTATTGATTGTGGTTAAATGTGTCATCAAATTTGTTTTTCGGGTATTAATCTCTTAAGGTAGAGTTCTTGGTGACAAAGTACTATTAACGTTAAAATAATCATAATAATGTCGGGTTGCAGAAACACAATTGTAAAAAATGTGAAAACATTTCAACAAAATAATATCATGCTTCTGATGAATTTAGGGGCTAAATTTTTGATATTTCGATATGCATTGTATCTGCCAGCCAGGCTAAAAAAAACTCTTTCATTTTTTCTTGTTCTTTCATTAGTAATTTCACAATTCACTTTAATATAACTAAAGGGATTTTTTATTCATATAAAGTCATACAAAAAAATACAAAAAATATATACAAAAATGAATACACCTAGAGGCTCTACAGAGACTGTGATGTTCACCTATCTAGGTCTATGTGCATCTTCAACAATAGATACTCATGAAAAGTGTGGACTAGAATAGAGTTAATGGCAAACTTTTATTTTTTGTTGATCTTGTATTGCTGATCATTTTTGTGTTAACAGTTTCTCTCTATCTTCTGTAGGAGGGTTTCTTATTGCGAGTTGCAAGTTGCAAGTTAAGAAAGCCGAGATGCGAGTTACGAAAGTCGAGTTGCGAGTTACGAGGGTCGAGTTGCGAGTTACGAAGGTCGAGTTGCGAGTTACGAAGGTCGAATTGCGAGTTACGAAGGTTGAGTTGCGAGTTACGAAGGTCAAGTTCCGAGTTACGAAATATGAAAATTTTATACATAAAAAGGTATACATTTTTAAAATCTAAATTATATGAAAACGGTGGGGTAACAGAACCCTAGCGACACCCCCTATCAATTAAGTAGTAAAGTATTAAAATGTGTTTTGTTTTCATTAAAATTCGAACAATCTATTAGAAACTTAATGTCAATACATATATTTTCTCCTAGTTCTCAGTAGAAATAATCTTTAAATTTATTCACTTCCATTCTGAACATTTTTTTCTCAAGGAATACAGAATCAAACAGTTCTATAAAAAAAACCTACGCCTCTCCAAAATATGGATGGCAGATGCCTGAAAGTACAACTTGATGCCATACTTACCCGTGCTCTCGTGACAGGCTATGCATGATATTAAAATGAAAAGGAAGCACATTTTGTTTTAGAAAAATGTACAATACACAGCTTATATCTAAAACTACAACATTTATATTAAGGCTGCATGCAGATAAAATAGTAACCTTGTGACAGACAAGGCTTCCGTGCTCATACCGTAAAAACACACGCCATAACATTCCTTAAAACTGTTCCTTTATTTTTTGTAACAGCGGTATAGCTTTTTGTAGAATAACGTCTTTCCAAATTAAAAAAAATCCATATTATGATGTCCTATGCCAGGAAGTTACCATAATATCATATAAAAACATCTATAGCATGCTTATTTTTGCGTTGTGGTATTCAGATATACATACAGGAACCCGGGGCGTGTTTTTTTTTGTTCTTCGGTAGTGAGCCAGAAGAAGCCATTTCTATTTTTTTTTGCATTGGGAAGATCTTCTGTTCCTCTCCTATCTCTTCTTTTTAAATAGGTGGTTTAGACGGCAGAGGCATATAACAAACATGGCGTCGTTTAGTCTAAATGACATTAATAAATTTATGAATTCAGATATGATAGAATGTGTGCTGTGTGATTAACGTTTTTATGGTATTGCAGCCTTAGGAGAACATCCCTGTAGGGACGATAACCTGGATAAATATAAAAACTACATGAACAATCAAAGTAAGGGGACGACTATTTGATATTCTGGGGAGGGGGAGGGAGCAGGATAATTTTTTTCGCGGATTTATTATACATTTTAATATGTCCCTAAGCATGCCATGCCTATTTTCAGCTCTCACTAGGCCTCCATATTCCTTTTCAAAATCCTCATGTCCCCCACCCATACCAAAAAAAATAGAAAATGGTTTTCACATTATTCAACACGAGTTTAAAATGATTGGTAGTTTGTTGCTTAATTTTAACGTCCAGGGACAGATATTTCATGCCTTTTCTGGAAAAACACGAGTCTAAAAGTCAGGTATATACTATAAAAATTAGGAGATGTGGTATGATTGCCAATGAGAAAACTATCCATTGGAGTTCAAATCAAGGGGATATAAGGAATTATAGGTAACCGTATGGCCTTCAACCATGACAAAACTCCATACCGTATAGTCGGCTATTAAAGGCCCCGACATGAAAAATGTAAAACAATTGAATCGAAAAAACTAACGGCCTTATTATATATAACAAAAACAATTTACAAATATCAAATATGAGGCAACACTGAGGGCAACACACATAAACCAACGACAACCACTGAACTATATGCACCTGACTTGACACAGGCACATTAAGAATATGGTAGGGTTAAACATGTTTATGATCGATCAATTCTTCCCTAAACTGGGACTGGTGTAACTGTACAACATAAGAACAAACTGTAAAAATCAGTTGCAATAATAATAACTCAAAAGATAAGAGACACAAAAAAATAAAACCCAACTAACATTATGACAATAGACACAAAGCACCGAAATAAGAGTATTTTCAGTTACTGAAAGTTTGTTCAAAGCCAATTACAACTAACAAATAAATCTTGTTCCCCAAACATGTTTAACCGCGCCGCATTTTTGCGCCTGTCCCAAGTCAGGAGCCTCTGGCCTTTGTTAGTCTTGTATCATTTTTAATTTTAGTTTCCTGTGTATAATTTGGAGTTTAGTATGACGTCCATTATCACTGAACTAGTATACATATTTGTTTAGGGGCCAGCTGAAGGACGCCTCCGGGTGCGGGAGTTTCTCGCTGCATTGAAGACCCATTGGTGGCCTTCGGCTGTTGTCTGCTCTATGGTCGGGTCGTTGTCTCTTTGACACATTCCCCATTTCCATTCTCAATTTTATAAAGTATCAATCATCACACAATCAACGGATTTAGTAATAAACAGTCTAAGAAACACCATGACCATATATACCTTGTATACATATACAATCAAAAAGTCGTGGTTCGAAGGTTTTGACCATCGAAATTTTGCAATAGAAATGATAGTTAGGACCAGCAGATTTTCTTCAAGGGCCACCAGGGAAAAAGATTTTGAGAACTCTGCAATATCTTTTATATATGCAAAAATAATCCAGTTCTTTACTTAAAAAAATTTCATTGAGAAGATGTCCAAACAAACATTGAAAAATTCTTGTACAGTTTAAGATTATTCCTTAAAATCACATAGTCGGCGCTTCAAGTCAGATTTTAATTAGTAAAGTATAAAGAAAAAATTTCACAAACACAGCGATTTCTTCCAACCAATTTTCTTTGTTTTTACACTTATTGTATAACTACACCAATGCTTAAACATAACACTATTACAATCATGTCAACCGAATAAATTGAAGTATCTTAATTTTAAAATAAATCATCGTAAACTTCATTTATGTCATCCAACATAAAAAAAAATCTGAT